CCCACTGCTATTAAGCCTGATGTGATGTAATCCTGGTTCTTATTAGAATGTGTTACTTTAAAGTGACGACTTTGCAATTTTAAGCACCTTTATTTGTCTAATGATGGCAATGCTCTCACTCTAATTAGCTGCTCTCCTTCAAGTCTGTTTTCGGTATTATGAGCGATGACCCTGATGCTAGACATTGTGTTAAAGTGCAAAGTCTGGACCACAGCCACACGAGGTTCACTAATTAAGCAGCAGAGATGAGCAACTCCGGCAAAGTTTTGAAAAAAAAAAAAAAAATCTCAAGTATTTGTTGTTTATCTTTTTTTTATCATTATTTTTATTAAACTCCGGAGTTTAATAAAACTCTTTGAATTTCGGGTGTGTTGTTCGTAGTTAAAATTAGTTCCTCAATCAAAGAAGCCACAGTACAGACCTCGACGAACACTGATAAAATGTTACAGTAAAAGTCTCATTGATGCTTTTGTTTGTCTTACATGTGGAAAACGTTGTGTGAATAAATACTAAGTTATAATTTTATGTCCAATCCAGCATAAACCTAAAAAAAGAGCCATGGAAAGTCAGATATTAACTTGAAGTACATTATTACTCTGATAACTGAAGGGAGACAAATCCTCTTCTGAGCAGTGAAAGACTTTTGTTTTTAATTTTGTGAATGCCACCATCTCCTTCTGTGCACTCATTTATTTAATGCATTTCATCCCAATGGGATTCAGTGAACAGTCTTATTCAGCCAGTGATTTGATTATGTGTTATTATTATACTAAAGTACTGTTGTCACTTGATACTTAATAACATCTACTCAGGTGAACTTTGTGTCTTTTTCTGTTTGTAGTGGCAATATATATATATATATACGGACGGACGGACGGACGGACGGACAGACAGACAGACAGACAGACAGACAGACAGACAGACAGACAGACAGACAGACAGACAGACAGACAGACAGACAGACAGACAGACAGACAGACAGACAGACAGACAGACAGACAGATAGATAGATAGATAGATAGATGGATGTATATACATTTTTGCTGCTCTCCCATTCACATCCTTTTTCTCCTCTGATGCCATACGTTCTCTCTGTCTGGCACTGTCCACCTCCTCTCTGTGTCATCCCGCGATCCCCACAGCAGGCTGGACATTTGGCACCTCTGACTCGGACAGTATGCTTGTGAATGGCGAGATCAGGGCAGAGAGGTGGCGTTCCCTTTCTGATCTGCCAAATGCTCCCATAACTCATAGTTTCAGTCCAGAACACCTGCTTCACAGTAAACAGTGCCAAAGCTGGAAGGCATGGCACGTATGAGCCAATTAACCTGCCAGCAGGTATGATGTGACTCCTCAGGTTTTTGCGTTTGTGGACGCAGGCGTGAGGATGTGCACGGCAATGACCGAATCTCTGCAAGGACACAGTAGCAGCATTGCAGAGCTATTTTCTTGCTGTATGCTTTACTCTTATCTAAAAAGGATAATGATGCTGTTTTTCAATATCCTGGATCTGCATACTGTTCACAACTCATTAAAGCCAGAATTTGGGCCAAGTCATAGATTTTACACTCGATTTTCACTAGCCTTCCCTCTTCTTACATTAATCTGATAAACTACAGCACCGCACTGAGAAAATGCTACTGTAATAAAAAAAGAAAATTACGCAGCCATGTCAGGGATGCCAATAAATGTTTGCATATGTAAGAAATATATAAATAGTAATTATAGGAAGATGACTTTATTAAAATAGATAATAAATTTTATTCTTCTCAGTTTAAGAAGCAGAAATAAAATAGATTCTGTATTGCAATGTTTTTTCTGCACCATGAGAGTTAGGACTTCTGAAGTCTTTCAACAGACTGTCAGTTGAATTTAGGTCTGGATTGGACTAGACCATTGTGACACATAAATATGCATTTATCTAAACTATCCCATTGTTGTTAAGGCTGTAGGCTTGTTGTATCAAACCTTGCTTGCCTTTTAGTCTGCGTAACTCAGTGGTAGCATTTAATGTAGAACTGAGCCGTGTTGGAGGAAAATGTCAGGCTTGGAGCAGCTTTTCCAGATTCACACAAAGTGACCATGGGAGATCTCACTGAAACCACAGAACTGCGAATGCCGAGGGCATTAACTGCTCAGCGATACCTACGCAGTTCAAGGTTCCTTCGACTTTCCATTTACACAAAGCACAGCAGCGGTAGAAGGTCCTTTCAATACTGTAGACAATATCACAGAAGGAGGGGAGGGGTGGTCTCAAAGGAGAAGGGAAGCAAGGAAGGACTAAGAGGGAGCATGCAGAGAGGCAGTCTCAGAGGACAAAAAGGGGTGTGATGTGTGGGCCCAAGGAGTAAACAATCACAAAGACGCCAATTTTACCCTCTGAATCTTCGGTTAACGATTAATCTGCGCTGTGGATTCAGTCTCTCAAAGGGTTGCCCGCTAACTTTTGTGATTTAAAAATAGAGGTGGAAGTTTTGACTCCGAATCCGAGGTTAGAGGGTAACAGCGATGTGCAGCCAGCAAGTTAAGCTGTGTGAGTGTGTGCGAACTGCACTGTGTGGGGTAAATTATGTATGTTAATTTGGAGAAGCACAGGCATGAATATTCCTTTGTCCTTGTCTTTTGTTAAGCAAATGCAGCCACATCCATCAGCCTACACAATGTTGTCCTTACGACGGATGGTAGCAAAGAGAGTCAGATGTGTTCATTTTTATTCGGACTCAACAAACAACCAGAGACACAATGGTATAGTTGATACTTGAAAATGAAAGGGTGAGGTACTCTGAAAAAGACTCGGTAAAATGCAAGTAATAGTTTTAATAGTATATTTTTCTTATGGCGTTTTTGGCATTGATGTTTTTGTTCTGCTGTATATTTAATAAACATAGCATCTTCTGCTTATGTGCTTTTCATATAGTAATGCTTGAAAAATCTCTTTGCTGTGCATCTTACTGAACAACCCTCATGGCATGTTTGATTCCCACAGCAATTTTGCAGACTTTAAGTGGATAAATTCAGCATCCCAACTGAGCTTTTTGGACCTCATCCAAGTCCTGATATTCATACAGTCTGAGAGACACATTGCAACTCCAGGGGTCTGGATTATAAAACAGATTTATGGTCAAATTCCATCATTAAACTCTCATTTCCTCTGCATTGCATGAAACAAAGTCACAGGGCGGATGTAATTTGTTTAAGTTAATTTGAGATTTATGAAGGTCTTTAATTGCACACAGTATTCTTTGAAATTCTGATGTCCAGTTGGTGTACATTTAGCAACAGCAGGTGTCTGGCGGTTGGAAAACTGCAAGTTTGATTCCAGCTTCCCTTCAACTGAACTGTAACTTGCCAGCTGGTTTGCAGTTCATCTCATGCATGTCTGAACAAATTGGTGAAATTAATCATTGTAATAGTTCTGATTTACTCGAGGACTATTTAAGTTTAGTTTATTTACATTTTTACAAGAAAACACAATTTTTGGACTTAGTTTTGGACTAATTGATCAATTAGGCTTAATTAATGGAAAATCTTATTTTTTCAGCCTAAAAATTTCAACAAAAACAAGATGATAATTTGAACCTGTTGAAGAGTAAAACTACTTAATATTTTTCTACTTTTACGATTAACCAGGTGTCTGCAGACTGTTTGACCACATAGGCATTTTTGCCTGTGTTTCACCTGCGTTTCAGTCAGCTTTGTGTGCACAGCCATGAGTTTGTGTGTGCGCCTGGGTGGGTGGGAGTGCTGTTGTATCATCCTCCTGAAACCGGCGTGGATGAGAGATGTGGATTGGCTGAGGTTTTATTCCCCTCACTCTTAGAAATGTAAGAAAAATAGCACAGTGGAGGAAGGGAGTAGATGAAAATAGCTCAGTAGGCAACCGCTGACTCACAAGGCAAAGCTGGGAGTCAGGATGACATCTATTCCAATATACATCAAAAATCAGCTTGTGTAACTACCTCTGTATCCAGGAGCTGACAGATCTCAGTGCCCCTTGCCACATCCTGTATGAATGTGGTGCACGTTTCTCGTCTGTGGCTGCATTAAAACAGGGAGGTGACATTACAGGTGTCATTTATTTCTTTTGACAGCTCAGAGTCTTTGGGGCATGAGGGCTGGCTAGATGTGATGTAGCGTGATCAGCTAACTTTGTGACTCATTCATCATGCCACTCATGGAGGGCAGGCTATCAAATTTTAAATTTTTTTTGTAAGCACTGTGAAATGGAATACGAACATGAACTGAACTCATATTTGAATCAATCCGATTAAAATATCACTTCAAGCATTAGTTTCTCATGCAACCACAACTGAGAAAGTTGCAGGAATTGCAAGGAGGTGTGGCATGTTAGGAATTTTAAATGGGAAATGTTTTCATTAACTTCACTGTCTGGCATATGATAAAAATTTGATTGATTTTCTGATATTTTGGAAAAGAAAATCAAAAGCTGGAAATGTCCTCACACCCTCTTCAGGCTGACAGCACTTTAAGAAAGTTATTGAAACACTTTGAATCCCACCCCACTGCTGGTCTGGCTGCGATCAAACGCATCTGACCAAGCAGCTGTGATGAACAATCCACAATCTCCACCTTAAAGACTATTCATTAGTCTTTAAGGTCTTTAACTTAAGTCTTTAATTTGACTGCTTTTCCAGTCAAGTTTCTGCTTGACTGGAAAACTTCAGTGACATAAATTTTGTTATGACTTTTGTTGTTTGATTATCTTCCAACAACAACCAGTCATCACTTGATATAGCTTGAAAGTATTCTGCAATTTTTGTTTTAGTATTTTCAGTTGGAATATTTTACAATCGATGCATCAAATTTCCAACAGTTTAACTTGGGTTTTATTTTTTGGAAGCAGCTGATTGGTGCTTTCAGGATGTGTAGCCTGGCAGCAGCACAAAATTCTGGTTATTTTGGGGAGTACATCTAATTTAAAAAAATAATTAAAATCTGAGTCTTAAATAATTCATACCCCAATAATGGCTTTCTTTCAGGTTGAGGCTCAGAACGATGCAGTCTCTTTTTGGCGGTGGGGAGCTCGGGCTGCTGGGAGGAGGAGGCAGCGACGCGGGAGGCCTAAAAGAGGACGGCTGCGGCAGCGTGGCATGGAGGACCTCGGCTCTTTCTTCGGACGACGTGTACTCCGCATCCCACTTCACCCTCATCTCCGCCTACCAGGAAATCAAAACAAGACTGGCCAGCCTGGAGCGAGAGAACACCAGCATCAAGAGGAAGCTGAAGATCTACGAAATTAAGGTGAAAGCATTTTCAAGTCCAACATTCGGCTGCCTAGAACAAAAAAAACAACACAAAGAAAAAACTAATCAACCCGGTTGTTTTTGTCCTTTGCGGTGTCAGATAGAAGGACTCCTGGTTTGTGCTGTTGATTTACTGCCAAGGCTCACACAACCTTTTTCAATTTTTATGAAGGTGGTGAGAGTTTCAAAAAGAAAAAAACAGAGTCCAAGCCGACAGCTGGCACAGAATCTGTGGAGGAAGCTAAGATTAGGGTGATGGCAGGGAGGCTTTCCAAACTCAAAGACTTGGAGCTCATAACCAAAGACAAATAATCAAAAAGCAGTGGAAATGAAGCTGGTTTATTGGCATTACAGATTTATTGCTGTAATGCCAATAAATATTTTTCTGTTGGTAATTGGTAAGGATCGAAAATAAACTGTAAATACAACCTGATTAAAAAATAAAATTAAAACTCTTGTACATTGCCTTATTATTCTGTCAGATACTACTGGCTGATTGTAATTTTTATATGATTGAATTTTATGTAATGTCTGGAGAGTAGGTTTAAAGACTACAGAAAATGTTCATATTTATTCAGGGATTGGTATGTTTTGAAATGAAAATAATACATTGGTTGCTTTTGAATTCCTTTTATTGTCCAAAATAAAAATAAGAAATGTAATGGAAAGCAGTGTGAGAAATGAGTCATATCAGTTGTTTTTATGCAGGCAAAAACAGAAAATCAACACTAAATTTTTGTAGGTCAATTGAAAAAAATAAAAATAAAACAGGTCAGATACAAACCAGGAGGGAGAGTTGTATCGGCGCATTTGCAGGTGCAACAACTTCTCCAAATGGCCAACATCTGCACCTGCCTCCACCAAAATCAACACCTGCCTCTCTGTGGAACCGTCCCTGAGCAAACGGCCACCTGTGAGTGAGTCAACAGCAGTTTGGCAGCCTGAAGCCTGCAGGAACAGATGCTTGCTAAAAGCATCCAGGAGTTCTGACTCTTTCCTCCTTAAACTTCATTTGCACATATTTGAAATTCTCCAATACTAATACTGTTTGGGTGTATTTGTTTCAATCATGATGTTTTTGCGACTTTCTTTTGATTCCGCTTTAACCTACTTGATACAGTTGTAGACCATATTGAAATCCTTAAAGTAGAAAAAAAATGAGAAAAGTCTGCTCCTGCATAATTCCTAGAATAAGCAGAAAACCTAAGACTAATGATTGGTGGGATACTCTTTTTTTCTTTTCTTCTACTAATCCTCCTTTGTTCTTGATTTCAACAATTCATCTCCCCCTTGCTGCTCACATCATTATCTCCTTTTGCTCCCTCATGCTTCATCCTTTTTTGTCATGCAACACACTCCTCCTCCCATGTAGATCTTTTTTTCAACTGCTTTTCCCATTTTTATTTATTTTCAGTCCTCCTACATAATTTCTTTCCACTTCTTTTCCCTAAAGCTCTCCTGATTTAATCTGTATGCCAATTCAGCGATTGCTGAATCACCTGCTGTCTAATTGAACCAACAAGTCTCATCTCCAAACATCAAACATGCCGGTCAGACTGTACTTTGAATCGAGCAGCTCTGCCGACACACTAATTAATCCTGGATACTCAAACAGGTGATTGAATATGTAAATACCAATCACCTCTTAATGCAAACATTGAATTGACCCATACAATGGCAGCAAGTGATTAAAATGTATTTATGTTGCACAAGAGCATTAGAAGTGACAAATAAAGAAGAGCTAAAAGCAAAACATGAATATGATCAAACAGGTCATAAAAATTATTCATAAAGTCAAACTGATTAATTGCCAAAATGAAAAACAAAAGAATTCCAGTTTTACAGAAGATTTGATTTGCAAAGATGAATGCAACACTTTCTATATTGCCTTTAAAAGACTTTGTCTCAAAATGAGTCAGAGGCACCATTATGACCCCAGACGACAACAAGGGATGTAAACCTCTGAGAGATCACAGATAGAGGGAGCGACAGCACCATGAATAAATTTAGAAGACAGGGCTAATATTTTAATATGGATTCCTAAATGTACACAGCCTCAGAAATACTGATACCTCTTTCAGATTTAGAGATAAAGAATGTGGTGATGCAAGTGAAGCCTTCTTATCTCAGAAATGAATCATCAAAAATATGAGTGGAAACATGTAAAGGATGGCTTTTAAGTACATATTTTCTGCTTTTGTTTTAATATTAAAACAGATTTATGTATTTTTTTTGGTCCTGACATTGAATGTTGAACATGCTTGACAGAAGGTCTGTCTAAACACGGTGGCACTACAGTCACTTCACATAGGAAGTGGAAAATTTGCCACGATTTTGACTTTTACACAAATGACTTTTTACCCCCAAATGATTGACTGCAGAAGGAATGGGGGATTGACAATGAATTGAGCTAATCTCGACAACAATCACCAATAAACCAATCAGCAGTCTCTGCCTGCAAGGTGCTCTGCAGCCGACCTCCACCTCAGACTTTGCTATCAGACTGTGGTTTAATTAGTGATGTGCTAACTGTGTTATCATTGGTGTTTCTGTGTTCTGTACTCCAAACGTAACAGGAGATATTAATTACCAGGAGCTGCTGCTATAATTACAAATGGATTTAAATGACTTAACACTTAAAGTGAAACTGATTGGGCACAGTTATTAAAAGTCCTAAGATTCCTGGGCTCATATGTACCTAACAGTGAAGTTTGGCTTCATCATTCATTTTCCGGACGCTCCAGATGGTTTGTTACATAAAATCATCTGGGAAGTCATTGTTGGGAAGGATTTTTTTTTTAAACAAGCCAGGGTTTTTTTCAAAAGGAACTTGGCAGTAGATTGAAAGAACATAACAGCTCAACAGAGAGGAGCCAGTTGGTGTAATCAAGCCAGTCAGGAAAGAAAGAAATACACTTACAAAAGTCACAGCCATCAACACTAATGATTGTAGTTAAAACGGTCGTATTATGTAAAATTTACCTTTTTGATCTTTACCTCATGTTATAATGGTATCGCCTCATTAAAAACACACCTGGATTCCTTCCTGCATCTTTGAGAAATTCTTTAATTTCCCATGGCAACCATTCAGCTGTGGAAATGGCTGAATTTCCACAGCCCCTTTGTGCCTCAGAGGATCTGATCCTCCTCAGAGCAGAAGTTGCCATGATGCCACTCTTCCATCTCGCAGAGCTGAGCAGCTCTTTCAGCCTGGCAGCACCAATTAGCAAACACCTGGAAGAACTTTGCATCAGCTGAGCTCATTATATGAGATGCTTCTCAGTGCAATGCTGCTAAAAACTTTTTGAAGGGTTAATAGAAGAGCATTGTTGTGGTGACTTCAGTATGAGGTTTCAGAAAGAGCAGGAGTTTTTAAAGAGATAGAAGACCAAGTTCAAGGCATTAAATTATGAAGCCAAATTTCTTCTAATAAATATGTTATATAAAGCATTTTTATAACAACTGAAGGTAACATGTTACTTGAATGTGCTATGAAATGGCACTATTTGTGCCTGGAAAACACATAATACTGACATTTGCCTTTAGTTTCTTTTTCAAAAGAAAACAGGCTACACACATTAGAGAACCATATTCCTTCAGATGGATGGACGGACGGACCGACCGACCGACCGAATCTTGTATTCATCCTGTCTGGACCCTGTGACAGACTTGTTCTTTCTTACATCTTATGTTTAATCATTATTTCAGGTTCGATAAGGAGAAGAATTTCGACTAACACACTCGGCCTCACACAACCCTGTTAGTAACAAAGCTGCAGCAAACAGAAAACTCCAGAGCGCAGCTGCTGCTATGATGGATGGGAACACTTCCTGCTGCTTTGAACACGGGCTGAAGCGAGGTTCCTCTCCAGTTCAGAGTTCCTGAAGCTCAGCGCTGTCAGAAAACTCTGGCCCTCGGGGGCGACTGCACATGTTTACCCCATTTACTGTTAAACCGAGCAAAGAGAGATGCTCTTCTAAATGGAAAAGGGTTGTTTTCTCCTCAAATAGACATTGCATCAGTGCAGCAATGACTTCACACAGAAAATGAAAAGCCCTTATGGTAGGCACTCTAAATGGAAATGTGTTCATTTAGGTTGAACGACACTGAGTTATATAACCAGCATGTCTGGATCGCAGCGCTCTGCTAACAACCAGAGTTTGGTTTTGTAAGCCTAAAACCTTTAGAGTTTAGACTGAATCTGCTTTAGCCTTCAGCTTATAATTCCCAGTTTTGCTTTCACTCAGCTTAAATACATTTTTCATTAATTTAAATCAAAAACGAGACTTTTCAGAAGTGACCTGATTGAAATAAACAGCCCCTCGACAGCAGGTTGCACTCACGAATAGATGTGTAGTAATCCTCAAAAGTGGATTGAGTGGCCAGTGCTGTTGTAGCTGAAGACATAAAGCTTGATTTGACAGAAGGGTTCACAGTCTAATTTCTGAGCTACAGGAAGCCCAAAGGAGCTTGAAGTCCTTTGGTTGTCTCGGCAGATTGCTGATTTACCTACGTTGATAGGAAAATGGATGGAGCTAAATACAAAGCAATCCTAGTAGAAGTGGGATGAAGGTTCATCTTCTGGCAGCTTAACATGCAGCCAAAGCTGCAATGGAAGGATTTAGATCAAAGCATGTGCATGTGCAACCCTGGCTCAGCCGAAGCCTATAATTAAACCCAATTAAGGATCTCATGTAAGGATTGAAAACTGTTGCTCACAGATAATCTCCATCCGATCTGAGTGAGCTTGTGAGCTATTGTGCAAAGAGAAATGGGTAAATATTAAGTCTCCAGACACAACACTGGTAGAAATTAACCCCGCGTGACTTTCAGCTCGATTAAGTTTACCAACTGTGTCAGAAGTTAGAAGAAGATACAAGATATTCTGTCCAAAAGATTACCATTAAGCGAGCAGAATAAATACTTCATGTTACTGAAACATGGCAGGAAAAGCAGCATTGTCATCCATCCAATTTCTGATCACCCTTCTCCCTAAAGGGGTCGGGAGTTGCTGGTGTCAATCTCCAGCTGCATTCCGGGCGAGAGGCGGGGTTCACCATGGACAGGTCGCCAGTCTGTCGCAGGGCAACACAAAGACAAACAACCATCCACACACACTCACACCCAGGGAGAATTTGGAAAGACCAATTAACCGGACAGTTATGTTTTTGGACTGTGGGAGGAAGCCGGAGAACCCGGAGAGACAGACCACGCATGCACAGGAACAACATGCAAACTCCGTGCAGAAAGACCCCAGCCGGGAATTCAACCCAGGACCTTCTTGCTGCAAGGCAACAGTGCTACCAACCGCGCCACTGTGCAGCCCGCATTGTAGTCTTTACTGCAATATATTGTTTTAATGAACATGAACATTAATTAACTGTCTGGTGTGTCTTTGTTTTTGCAGTTCCCAATGATCAGTGAGTTTGGGGAGGATACCAACTCCTATTGCTCCTTTGAGAGTAAAGACACGGCGCTGCTGCAGTCAGAAAACGGCAACCTGCACCAGCGAGTCAACGTCCTGACCCATGAGGTATAAACCCAGTAAAACAAGGGGGAAAAGAGTCCAATTTTACATGCGTTGCTTATCTTTTGATGCGGTGGAAAAAAGAAAAGCCTTATCAGACGAATGTATTTTTTAGAGGACTCATTCAGTGGAAATCCTTCTTCCATTAAAACCTAATTTAATTACAGTAGAATTTAGGTCAGGAAACGTCCAGAGCTAATTAGGCTGCTGGAGCTGCTGTCTGGGCAAAAATGACGAGGAATTGATACAACCGGAGAGCTGTTCAAGAATGAAGTAAGACACTGGAGCTTCAGGCTGTTGATCTTGGAGATGCTTTAGCGATTACTCTGCAGACGCTGTCTTTGGAAAAGTTATAGCAGAGGATGACGGCAACATCTTTGTTAGAGCGTGTGCATGCGTCATACGAGCACATTTTAAGAGCGGGGCTTTGAGTGTTTTTCTGCTCAGCTGCCGCTCCAGTGCTCTCACCACTGTGTGAACGAGAACACGGGGAAACGAGAGGCGGCTCGCACAGGAAGGCCGTGGTGAAACTGGTAGCAGCAGCGGTGAAAAAAAAAAAGAAAGAGCAGCGTTAGAGAGCGAGGAAATGGTTTATAAGAGCAGCAGAGATGATTAGCGTGGGACTCCACAGGTCATGGGGTTGTCTGACACCTGGCATTCCGACCGATGAAATGAGACAAGGCACTGTGAGCATGCTCTGTGGGAACCAAACAGATATGGCACAGAGAGCCTCAATAAACACAGTACATAGGCTGCACTCATGTGTCTTTGCTGATGGGTGAACTTTAGTGACATCCTATTCTTAATTCATATGTTTCAAAGGGGACTTATTGCGCTTCCTTTTAAACAAGTTATTATAGGTCTTTATGAAATAGAAAACATACTTTTTGCTAAACACAATTCTCAAATCATGAGATTTCTGTCCAGTCATTTCAACCTGTTTTGAGCTCCATTCAGAACTTGTTGTTTTAGGGCTGTGTCACTATTATGCAATAAGCTAATTCCTGCTGCGCCTCCAACTCAGATTTCTTCCAGCACTACGTTTTATCTAATTTCATCAATCTCCCTATCAGCAGGTCAATTTTCCTGTCCCTGCTGAGGACATTCAGTCTCAAAGTATGATGATGTCACCACCATTTGTCACTGAGGCAGTGATGTGTTTACTGTCGGTTTTTCTTCCCATTCCCATGTGTAACTGATTACTGACTCTTAATTAACCACAGATGTATGATAGTAACTTCTAAAGGCAGTTTTATTTATGGGTGGTAGTGTAATAGAGCTCTATGGAAGGGCATGTCACATTTTAGATTTATCCTTCTGAAGAAAGCCATGAATTGCTTTACTTCTAGTTGACATCTATACAGGGTTTTCTGTTGGTCTGTCACACCGAATCCCAATAAATCACTGCTGTGCTCTTTCACAAAGCTTTCCACAAGCCATCCATGCACCAGTGCCAGATTTCCACTCGCATATGTTCCAATCGACACATTGAACGTCCGTCCCTGCTTCGGCATCCACCATTAGTGTGTCCCTGTCTGTTTATCTCAGTCCCTCATTGATGCTCCCACTCAATTGCCTAGAAGTGACCATGTTTTCTTTCCACATGCTTCGATAAGCTTGTTCCCTCTCCTACTTTGAAAATCCCTTAATTTCACTCAGCTTTGGAGAATCTCAGTGCTCTCAGATCTGCCAAATAAGATTATGTCTCATCGCACCACACTGTAAGAAAACTAAGCCACTGAGATGTTAAGTGGGCCCCTTTTTTTAAAAAAAAATCCCCGCTTGTGACATTAGGAAGTGCTGTGTTGCACATGCTGACGTATTAGATATTCGGTGTCCCAATTTCACCCGGTTACAAAACGTCTTCTTGAGGGACACGTTTGATGACTCTCTGAGTTGAAGAAGTGTTCCCTTCATTTTCTCCTTTGTGGGGAAGTTTGAAAACTAAGAAGGGAGGAAATGTGTCAACTTGATTTGTTGTCTGTGTGAGTCTGCCTGCTTTTCAGCTTTTCTTTTTTTATCTGTCTCTATTTAGCTGCAGAAGAGAAAGGAGAGGGAGGAGCAGCTGGAGGATGTGATCCAGGCCTACGAGAAGATCCACATGGAGAAAAGCAACCTCCAGAGGGACCTCGACAAGATGGTCAGAAGCGACACTCAGATAGCTTCACACTGGACTCGAATGGTTTATTCATCAAGTGTTGGTTTTACACTTGAGATTTTAAAAAAAGCAAGAGTTGATATCATTAATTGTTAATGAAATATAAATTTAGATGTAAAAAATATAACTTAGATGAATACAACGAGTTTTTCCAAACATAGCAGCAGTGTTCTTATTTCTGTATCCTGAAAGCTTGAGAAGATAGTGTACAGATTTACCTTCTGCGTTTTTTAGATTTTTTTCAATTACTTTCAGCAACTTGATGGCAACATACTAATAAATATTTTTCAAGTTCGTGCCCCTTGAAATCTCTTACATTGCAGCCACAAACCTGTGTTTTTCAGCAAGATTTCCTGTGAGAGATCAACAGAAAGAACGTAGCTGAAGTACGTCACGGAATCATTGTATTGTACCCCACGACTAAATATTTTGTAGATGAAGATGGAATTGCATCTTTCACTCCACTTCGATTGGAAGGGGAGCATCTGGGAACATTAATTTTGAAGTCTTTTTTTTTTTTTTAGCCCTGCAACTGAATCAAAGACAGAAAAGTTGAGAAAACTAAAAATCCAGATGGCTTTGGGGTTTATATCAAGACAGAGATTGCAAAGAGCTTTATTAGAACAACAGACCTCAATGTATGTATTTTTAAGGATTTCAATGTACAAAGAACACAAAGTAATTCCTGATAGTAAAGCAGGACACAAAATGTTTTTTTTTTAATTTTGTGCATAATGCGACTGTCTTACTGGCTTTAACCAAAGTCTTCACAAGGTTTTTCTTCTGTGGTCAATCTGCACATTTTGGACCAAAATATGTTCATATCTCGAACAAAAATTGTCTGATTCCTGAGCTTTATGTGGTTGTACAGCTCAGGATACAGACATATAAATGTCTGTAATTACTTATTATAGTTTGAACAGATGAATGTGGCAGCTTCAGGGAACTGGAAGTTGTTCTTAAGGTGGAACCAGACTGGTGCAGCTCCACAATTCTCCTCCTGATGTTGAACTTCTCTTGACTTTTCAAACATGTTGTAAGAGAAAACTGTGTTTCAGGTGTGGCCTGAAATACTCCCAGAGGTCTCCCTAACATATCCAGCTGGATATGTTAGTCAGCCTATCAAAGCCATGACATTTTCTATGGGCATTCTCTCATTCCATAAAGATTCTTCTCATTGTGAATTTTCATGAAACACTTTTAGAGAATTTGGTTTTCTTGATCATTTTAGAAACTTAAACACCTCCCAACAAAGCCTTGCTTGTGAACCAAGTTCATTAACATCTAGTCCAACATCAAGTTCGCAGTTTCTATGAACTGGAGGAGGGAACATCCAATATTCACAGTAAAATATGCTACCGATCATCAAATCTTTCACTGTTGGCGATTTCTGCTAAGGGACAGTATCTTTCTTTTTACACAAAACAAAACAAAACATGAATTTGCTGATCCTGCAAATTATAATCTGGCTAAAAATATTTTTGGAAGAGAAATTCTTCTCTCAGCATTTGTTTTAATTATTCCCGTTCCCCCAAAGAATTAAGCCGCATGTGATTTAACTGTCCTTTGTGTGTCGCTCCACCGCTTAAAACCGTGAGAATCTCATTTATTCTGAGTGGTTACAAATCAACAACGAGGCAGAGCTGTCCAAACGAACAGATTGGCTGGCTGAACTTTCCTCAATGCCCTTCTGAGGTAATAAAGCATCTCACTTGACAGTGGAGTCCATCTCACAGAGTATCTTCAGCAGCTTTAAACTGTCAGAGTGATGAGGGAATGAAGTGTGCCAAAGACGTTGGAGCCGCCACCTGGCAGGGACCATCATAGTGTCACCTGCAGCTCATTAATAGGACTTCATCAGAAAACTGCACGTCGCTCACCTTCCAGCCTTTCGCTCACTTACTCATTAACACGTCTGTAAAGGGATAGAGAGATATAGAGATTTAAAATAGGAAGGTTCTTTAAAAAACAGTAAATGGCATAGTTCAATGATTTGCTTCTTGTTTAGATTTAATTGGCAAGGATGTGGAGAGTGATGACTTCTTGAGAAGCTTTCCTTTCTCTTTGTTCAGAGCTATGCTGCGATTGCATTTTAATCTTTGGCAAAAGTAACCAGAGTAAATACAAATTGTGGTTTTCGAGAAATGTTTTCAATTTGGGAGGGAAACAAGCTTTCCAATCCAACGAAGTCTTTGTGAAGAATTGACTTCTACGTCTGAAACCAGTTTGGGCAAATTTTGATGTCCACAAACATCAAGCATTCATGTTACCTTGCAATTGACTTCGTCTGGTACCTTTTCCATGTAGAAAATTTGCCTCCAATATTGTCCTTTGGCATAATTGCTTTAATTCAGACACAGTTAGTGTTATTTTTGCAGATTAATACCAATTCCTGTGTTTGAGAATTAATTCAAATATCACAGGATTGTTCCATGTGCCATACAAATAAAGACAACATTTTACCTTGTTCACAGCTGTGCGACAGATTGGGCTGTCTTTTCATGATTTATGTGTGTGATTTCAGACGAACCTGGTGGAGAAACATGTCGAACGGATCCTGGGCCTGGAGTCTGCGCTGAGGCAGAGGGATGAGTCTCTGCAGAAACTCAACATCCAGCTGCACAACAAAGACATGCAGTACCTGCAGCTCCACGCTGGCCCCGACAAACACAGTAAGCAGCTTTGACCCCTCAGTTACAATTAGTGAACATGTTTTACTGGACAAATTAAGAAATTGAGAGGAAGACATGTAAAGGGAGTCAGCCTGCCTCTTGCCTGCTGTTGTAACTTTTATAAATCAACGAGTGTGCATTGTTTCCTATTGGCTGCTCATCTGTGCAAGAAAACAGACTTTTTGCCAGAATGCAAATCTTTTTGTCGTTCTTTGTTTGATTTATGACTGGTTACAATGTGCAGATTTTTTACATGACTCAGCACTGCACTTTCTTTTTTTTTGTATTGACTTTTGCTATAGTCATAGATATATGTGTATGTTTTTCTATGGGTTCTATGGGTTCTAATTGTTACAGGATTCCTGATAAAAGATTAAAAATTTCTTTATTGTCGTGCAAGAAAGCACAATGGAAATGGAAAACTACTAAAATGCAATGCGATTAAATGTTCAATAATAAATAAATAAATTTAAATAAATATAAATAAAACTTAGCAACACCAACGCAGATGTGAAGAAAAAATAGCAGCTTCTTTAACGTCAAAGTTCCCCAAAAAAGTTATGTAATTCGTAAAAATTACATTGGTGTTAAACTTCAGTCATTCTGGCTCGGAAGGCTTTTGGCATTGTAAGATGTGTGCTGTAAATCGGTATTATTCAGCCCATCTGCACCACCAAATGATCTCTGCTGTGGGTAATCTGCACGACTAAACGTGTAAAAAAAAAGCAACTCAACAGAGAACAAAACAAATTCCTGCAAAAACAAATGCAGTGCAGTGGAAACAACACTGCTCAATCTGCCGTATTGCAGAAGGACTGAAGGAGATGGGGTTCTGTTGACTTTAATTGCTTTGCATTGTGACCTTGTCAGTGACGTGGGCGGCTGAAACATGGAAGAAATGTAGCTGTGCCATCACAACAGATGCCTGTGCCGTAGTAAACCCTGATGAGGAGGAGTTTTCATTCTGCTCAGGCATCAGACTGGCAGAAAACTCATGGAAATGTGCATCAAATCTGTTTGTCTTCCATGTATTTCTTTTGCTTTAAATTGTGATGGGAAAAAAAATATGTGTAGTACTAAGTTTGTACTGTGTATTTGCACCTGTGACTGCACATACAAGTATTTTATTTAGGACGCAGGAGCAACGATAAAAGATGATGCTGCTGTGCCGTTGCTATGTCTTTTGTAGCTCAAGGACTGTGTGAGCGGAGCTGAATCACTAGCCAGCCCACACAGATCACATCACCCAGGTACATGCTGAAAGATGCTGCCCTTGGAAGAAGTCAGCTCTTTGGCTCTTTTATAGTCATCGATTGTACAACCGTGGACAGCAGGGCGGTGCATTACTCAGGGAATCAAAAAAAAAAAGAAGAAGAAATAGAAGCTCAATGTTTATATATTTTTTGTGCTGCGTGTTTACACCCTTTCCTCTCACTTCTTTTGCTTCCTTTCTCCCAGTGCTGGATTGCCCAGCTCTGACCCTTCAGAGCTCGCGCAGCCTGGACACCCTGTCAGACCTGAAGCTGCAGCGGCTGGAGGCCGAGCTGGAAGGGGCGCGGCACGAGGCCCAGGGGGCGTGTCAGCGAGAGGAGGAGATGAAGGCGGAGGTCGAGCGGCTGAAAGATGAGATCAGACAGCTGCAGGACGAGCAGAGGGAGAGGGTCAGTGTTGCTTTGTTTTCAGTCTGGTGCACGGTGTCTGGACCATTTAAACAGACAGAAATGTACTGAACTGTAAAATCCGAAAGAAAAAAAAAACTCACAATAAAGTTACAGTGCCTTGAAAAAATATTCCTGAACTTTAAACTTTCTTGCACATTTTTTCACATCACAGTCACAAACTTAAGTCAATTTTATTGGGATTTTAACGGTATTTCAACACAATTTGTTGTGGCTGGTATTTGTGTTCAACCTCCTCTGACCTGACACCCCTAAATAAACTCCACAGCACTCACGTCCCTTCAGATGGGTTTTACAAAGAAATTATGATTCTGGGTACTCTATCAGAGACGTTTCTCAGACAGAATCATGACATGTTTGGTCATTTCTTTTTCAGCAGATTTTGTACAATTTGTCCACATTCTCAGCAGTAATTTTACTTTTTTTTGGCAGTTTTCTTAGTTTGTCTTTTGTTTACACATATAATCTTATCCTTAAGATATTTTTATCATTAGTACCCAAACTAATGTAAATCAAAAAACAACCTGAGTGTGGCGGTGAAAGTAAGTATAAAACTCAATAAAATTATAAAAACAATATTTTACTACTATAAATCATATTACTATTATTATTTGGGTTTTTTTATAATAATAATCATGATAAATTTTCTAATTGGTACATCCCAAAAAGACCAAAGTTTTTTTTCTGAATGTACAGCAAGGACAATAGAGGACCAACCACTCAAAGATTTTGCACAGTTTTTTTTTTTTAGACTCTCTCGATGGTTCAACAACATGCTAAGCTGGATGATGAAAGTCCTGGGCCTCAACTTGACAGCTACCACTGATCTCTAGTTTAAAGCTGGAGGCAAAGGGGCGAACAAAGGCAGAATTTAAAATTGATGTGAGATTGACTGTTCCATGGAAACATAATTGCAATCCTCAGCGTGTCTGCATTTACCGCGTTTTCTTTTGAAATAGCGATAAGAGCCTCACTGTGTTATCTTATTTGACATATATTTAAGCTGTATTTAAAGAAAATACATTTTACATTACATTACATACATTTTAAATGAAGCTGTCAGTTTAAAAGGAAAATAAAAATTCCTGCCACTTTTTCTTTGTGACAGTAAAATGAATAACAGCCTTTTGAGCTTGTGCTCTTCATTCTGAAAGTTTTCGTCCCGGCTGTCTCTATGCTGTCAGATGTTGTCCAATATCCCACCAGCAACCTGCATGGTAATCTAATTTCATGCTCTACTTCTGCAGGAAATGACTTCTCCGTGCAAGCAGTGCGATGTGGAGTGGATAAAGAAGGTGGGAGATGAGCAGTAAGTGACCACCAACAATCTCTTAGCAGGGGCTGAAGGGAGAGGAGCCCATGTGGAGACGGACACGGAAGGAAAGCGAGAGAGTGGATAAGTTAGCACGAAGGAATACAGGCTGAGCAACGATCATACAAAAAGAGCAAGATTGAGAAATGTTTCAGCAGAAGCTCATCTCTGCTATCCTGCTGGGATGTGCTCAGGCCTACCTCTAGGGGCCTCATTAGGAAGCAAACAAGTTCTCCAATCACTGACTAACTGGGTTCAAACAGCATTAACAGAGAAGTAATGTTGTTTGGATGCTCTGGCCTGGTGAATCTACTATGCAAGGTGCCTTTGGCTAATTTTCATTAAACAAAGTTTGCGAGGAGCCATCAGTAGGCAGTATTTTACTCATGGTCAGAAGTTTGCTGAGCTCGTTTGGTGAAAACGAAAGAAAGGCGAAACATTCTAACTGCACGGAACAACTGGCCCCAATTATTTAGTCTAATTTTGAAAAATGCTCTCGCAGGCAGAGCAGGTGAAAGATGGAGAGAGAGCAAACTAAAAGCACAACAAAGGCAAGATGACCAACAAAAAGAAATAACAAAGCAATTAAAGGAAAATAGAGACTTGATGAATAACAGGGTCTCAACAGAAGCCATGAAAAGAGAGATGACTGTTTGTATAATGAGTCAAAAAATGGCATCTGACAGCATTAGCATGAAGATACTAATAGAGAAATGTTATATCTGTAAATGTGAAAATGAAGAATTTTTAGAAATTGACGGAAGACTTTTGGCAAATAATCACCCTGAGCAGCAGGGGGCAGTGTATGCACAAACCAAAACGTTTTCCTGTCCACTTTGCACATTTCAGCAATGTATTTTTGCCTTAAAGTCCTAATAAAGTGTTGACTCTCTCCTCATCTCTGCGCAGTTACCCATCAGAATAAAATCTTGCACTGTTTATAATTTTATCTCTGTTTCTTACTGGAAGCGAGAGTGGTCTCTTATCTTCATCTGCGTCTAAAGTTGTCCGTGACTTCTGATGTTTACAGGGTGCTAGGTATAAAAAAAGAAAGAAAAAAAAAAAGCCACAGCAGGTTGGGCAACTGACTCCCACACAATGAAACCCCAGAGTTGTTTCGATGGGGAGCAAACAGAAAGTAAATGGTGCGACAGCAGTCAGAGGCTGAGTTTTTTGTGTGTGTCGAGTGTGCGGTGGAAGACTACTACTTTTTTCCAGACCTTGGTCACCTTTTGGTTTTACTCAACAATATTGCTCACTCCCACTGAATTGCCGCTGCACTTTTTCCTGGAGCATTTTCTTGTAATTGGGTCTGTTTAATGTAAACTGCACAGATTAAAAAAGGAGGTTTTGTTAAGAATGTTGGCACAATGCACAACATTTATAGTTAAGTCTTCTGCCTGTTAATTAATGGTGATATTTAGAAAACCTCTCCAGTATGTAAACGTTTTTTTTTGTTGTTGTTTTATTTGTAATTTTTTTGTAAACATCAACATAATCAAAGTAGCATTACAAATATTATTTTATCTTCAGTTATTGTTGTTGTTGTGTTCATTTCTTCCTATTTTCATCCAGTGGTTCCACTTCGCTTCTTGTAACTGCATTTGCGGACTCGTTTCCCTCAGATGGAACCGTTGATTCGCGAACAAGCTACCCTCGTCAACCACAAGCCACAGCACCGTAGGCGCCAGCAGGCACCTGGCAATTACCCCCACCCCACCCTGCCTGGCTCAACCCCCACTCTACCAATTCAAAACTATTCCTTTGCGGAGAGACTGACTAATCTGTCCTCATTTTACAGAAATCGAGAGCAATTTCGAATAAATCACGGCCTGTTCGGGTGGAATTCCCTCTTCGAGTTGAGAATCCAAGCAAAAGCGAAAATTACATCTTGTGTTCCGATTGTTCGCAAATTCTCAACTTAATGAATTTGTAGCTTTTCAGTCATGTTTGAAATGCCAGTTGTAGCATTAGAGCTCAGCTGTCTGTTTTGAAATATTTTGCAAACTGCAATGGCTATCATTTATAACGTTCTGTACTAAAAATATGCTAGTGCTATCGTTAGGATGCAAATCTAAAGTCAGCATTCTAATGTCCGCAAATAGTTATTTACTCATAGGTTGAAACTGGCAAACTAAACTCTTAGGAAACTCTTGTGTGGATGCAATTTTTTTCTGGGATTTAGATAAAACGTAGGACCAATGATGAGTTTTTATAGTGGAGGCTGAAATTCTGAAAGGAAATTCAGTCCTTTTGTATAATGAACACAGCTTGCCCGACTTCAAAGACGTACAGCATCACCCCGTAACTGTGGCTTGGTGTGAGAGCAGTTTGACACCTTTCTGTGTTACACTAAACAGTTTCCAACAAAATTCAGAATATGGACTGCAGAGTGTGGGGGGGAAAAAAACATTGTTACATTTCTGAGAGACCCCAGCCCTTTCCAGAAGGTCTAAAAAAAAAAAACCCTGTCAGCTTCCACTTCTTGTAATTTCTCTCATTCTCAGTTAAGAAAAAGAGAAGGATTACGTGCACCACTGTGCACAAATAGTTATTTACTCATAGGTTGAAACTGGCAAACTAAACTCTCAGTCATGTTTCCCTGAGTGTGTGCCAACAGTGAGGGATCCCAGAGGCAGGTGTGGAGACGGCCTTTCCTTTAAAACATCAGATCAGGGGTCAGATTTCAGCCTACACTCACCTCCTACTCACTCGCGCACACACACACACACACACACACACACACGGTACTCTTCTCCACTTGATCAATCTACTTCCACAGCACTTTCATCAATACTGCATTGGCATTATCACACCCCTCCTACGCACTGTAGCATACACTGTACAAAAACGTGCACAATCGTATTCAAGAACGAAAAGAGGGGGGGGGGAAGGACCTTATGCACAAGAGAGGAAATGCATATAAGCAAATGTGAGAAGCATTTTTAGCTGCTTGGGAGACAAGCAAACAATTTATTACTTCTGTGCCTCTTTGCTCTCTGAGAGTGTGTCGAACCAGGACTGAGAGGTGTTGCGTTTTGGTCAGGACCCGTTTCAAGAAACTGCTAAAAGACATGAGCAAATGTGAAATGTGACATGGCATACGTGTGAAAAGGAAGAAGTGCGTCAGTTTAAAACTGTCAATAAATCCGCAGCACATCAGCATTTAGATATGAACAGCCGAAGCGGGGGTAAAAGGAAGATAGCCACTTAGTTTCAGGGATGCTTTATAAGACAACAACATTGTGCCTCCCACCATGTCAGTAAGTAACGCAATTGATTGTTATTTTCCTTATGCAGCAGGTTTTAAAGCCACAAACAGCGATGGCCCTACTGAGCTGAACCAATTTGAACTAAAAGGAAAGATGTCTGTTGCCAGACGGTGGGCTGATTGGGGGTTAGATACCCCCACCCTGTGTGTGAGTCACAGTAGTCGGTTGAGAAATTAGGTGGGCCATTAACAGGCACTAACTAACCATTGGAAGTTATGAGCTGTTCAGTCGCTCTTCTGTTTTTTTCAGTGCTGGTTTCTCTGAAACAGAGACCCTTATTTTTATGTTAAATGAAATTGGAGGTAAACTTGTTGCATTCATGGACGTGAAGCAGCAAAGAGCTTCCTAATCCAGCTTTGAGAATGGATTTCTGTAAAAAAAAAAGATAATAGAAGTAAAACCTAACAGTCTGTTTGTAATACTAAAAAAAATATGCAGGAATAGCTAAAGCTAAATTAGTGTGTGGGTGTGCTGCAGAACATATGTTAATATTTTACAGTTTGCTAGCTGTGTAGGAAGGATCTTTGTTGGGTTTTTTTTCAGGGAAGTTTGTGTCTGTTCTGTTTCATGCTGAAAAACTCCCCATGATATGCAGAAGTTCTAGGGTTTTTTAGTCCATCACAATCTTTATAGAAGAATGAGATCAGTCAATTATTTTTTAGCAAAGTCATCACATCAAAATTGTTCAACGGCGCTTCACGGCCTTGAGCACTATTTACATCCTCTTTTCAACTCTGACTTTTTCGTTTATCTCAACGCAGATCTGCATGTTGCCCTCAAGAGATGCTTCATGGTATGTTGAAGCTTTCGTGTAGGTGTGATGTTTTTCATATGACACACACACACACACACACTGTTGTGTTATGAAACTTTCAAATAACAAATCTCTCGATGCAACTATTGATAACTTCGGTTTTCTTGAAGTGCAAGCCGTTGTATAAGAAATTACTCAGATTTTTCTACGTTATCTTTGTAGATTATATGCTGGATTTTATGGTTTTGGTTTGAACCCGATAACAAGGGTTGGTATTTATCTCCTGTGCCCAAATGAGTCAATTTCAGATCAAGACTGAGGAGTTTATAAAAACAAGCTGCCATATCTGATCTGACTACCTGTTCGGTTTTATATCTAATTCATCAAACGTCTTAGTTGGTTTTATATTTATTTTGTGAACAGATTAACTTACTTTCGACTTGCATAATAAATTTCTGTCCCAATCTGTTCTGATTAATTTCGCTGAGAGAACGACGTCTCGTTGCCATGGTTAAAATACGGCACCTCGTAAACCAATCCTTCTGGCTTAGAGCTTTCGACAAGGCACATCTTGCAAGAATATGGTGTGATTTTAAATTATGCGCTCCGACATGCAATCTAAAAATATGTGCTTCTCAATAAGCCACCTGATTTGTGTGTTGCTGCAGCAGGCCTTTTTCTATTTCAGAGCAGATGAAGATTAATTCATGTGCAGTCCCTGGCTTGGAGGGGGGGGGGGAAATTATTTGCATTTTGACAAGAATTTGACTGCAATTATAGTTTAAATAACCACACAGTTGTAACACATTTACATTGTGCCAACACTTTAATGTTCTGCTGTAACAATGATTATGCTAATGACATAATTGCCTTTCTTCGTTCAGGGTAAATTTGGCTCTGGCCTACACAGAGTTAACAGAGGAAGTGGGACGCCTCCAAGCGCTGTGCTCCAAGCAGACGGAGATCCTGAGGAAGGCGGCGCAGGAGCCGGCCAGTCCAGGTTAGCGTTTATGCGTTGAAACGCTGCACGTCGGAGAAAATCTGGGTCGAGACGATCCCGGTCATTTTTATGTGCAAAACCATTGCAGCAGCACTCTCTGAAACACAGTCACCACAGCTGTGTATTCATTGTGAAACTTAAACATGCAGTTCAAAAGGAAAACCTCTCCGACTCAAAGCAGGATCTCTAATTTACTTACCTAAAGCACATTGCGTCATCAGACTGTATTATTATGGCACAGAATGTTCATCCCACTAATGTCCATAGAAAACATGTTGAAGTTTTCTCTGCACCCTCCAGTTTTCTGCTGAAGAGCAAAGAAAATTAAATAAAATTAAATAAAAAATCCTATAACTTTTGTGTTGCTCGCCAGTCCAGGGTCAACCCTCACTCCTGTCTACTGGCTTCTGGAGATGATCACTTGCAGGTCAAAACCAGCCACTGATACAGCAGATATAAGAACATCAAGTTTGTACTTATCTATTTAGTTTCAAAGATTTTTAAAGTGGGCAAATTAGTGTAAGACAACACCTTCTATTTATTTATCTATTAAAAAAAAAAAAGTAAATTGTGAATTGAAAAGATGTCCTCAGTGAATCTATCGCACCTACATTCCTTGCCACAACAACAATGTTTGTTGTTCCTGAGGGAAAGAGACTGAAAATTAGTTATTTTCATCCAGCAGTAAAAAGAAATCAGAAAGGAAACAATGCTTTTTGTGTGAACCGTAGGCAAAAGAGCAATAGTTTCAGCAGATAAGAGTAATAATGAACAGAAATGTTTCCATGTTTTATTTAGTTGAGGTTTAGTTTCTATCTGTCATGTTTCTGTCTGTGTGTCTAAAAAAATTGTATAATTTCACAGTGACTGCTCTGAGACACAGTCTGATGTAATTTCTCCTCCTTATCTAAATTATTGCTGACTGCTGACAGCAAGGAGACATGATAAAAATACATGAAATTTTGTTCTTATATCTTTGTGTTTTTATGAATATTAAAGATAAAATTGGTGTCTGCAAGACAGAGTCACAAAGCGAGCGGTCAGTTCATCTCTAAGAATCATTAATTTCAAAATAACCAATTAAATTAAATTATAATTTAAAAAACACCAGCTATCAGAGATAGAAACTGTGATGATCTTTGTTAGAACTGATTCATCAAAGCACCTACTAATTGATCGGCCGACTATAGTGGGTATAAAAACTACATTTGGCTCATGCTCACACGCTCCTACATTTTTTTTTCTAGTTTTTTTTTTATCTACTTACTTATTTAATAACTAATTTATAGGTAATGTTACAATAAACATGTAACCTGATGTGTGACAATTTGAAATTATTTATCATGAAGTATTTTTGTCACATTGTCGTGGTATTTTAACAGGGGTGTGTAGATTTTTTTTATATCCGATTTGCTCTACATACACATCTGATTCTTTCACTCAACTCCTCCTATTGTTTACCTGTTTTTATATTGTTTCCATGCTGGTTTGCCTTCACTGTTCATGCCCAACTTAGCCTTTCTGTGTTTTGCCCTAATTCCAGCTTTACAATTAGTGTTTTAGATGTTCTTTATTATTAAATTGAAATTGTCACACATTCAGCCAACTTCTGGCCCTCAAGCGACACTGGGCACGATAGATTCCTATTTTTTAAATATCCCCCACATATTAATAATTTCTGAGCCATCTTAAAAAGCAAATTTAATGTAAATCAAATTTGATTCAATAATTGACATCTGCATCGTTTGTCAGTGCTGGTTGTGATTTGTATGTGTTGTTTTCACACTTAAAAAGTAACGATAGGAAATCCGAGACGCACGTTGTGGAGTAAAAGTAAAGAAGTGCTAAACGGTAGCAACACCTTTTTCTGCATGCACAAAGTAACACACGTTGTCTCACAAGTTTGTGTCCAACCACAAACCAAGTTCATAGAACAGAACCTGAGAAGATTTCAGCTAAAGAAAATAAACAACAATAACAAGGAAAGTGCAGATGATATGAACGCCTCAGCCATCTATAACGAGAAACTGATATTCTTGGCGATTTGTTAGCATGTTTTGGGAAATTGTGTGCAGCCATGGAAGAGTTCTTGCATGTCGAAAGCGAGTGAACGTATTGAATTTACCCCCTTTTTCTTCTCATTTGGAGAAAAGTCTGAAGAGCACAAACAGCCCCTCCCCTCTTTAACACCCTGAACCAGGCAGCCAGAAATGATGTTTCCTCTTTGTAATGGGAAGTGTTGCTGAAGTGGTGACTGCAGGGCTGACTCACCCATCAACATATCTTGTAATTACAGGAAACACTACAACTGTACTTGTGCAGATAAATCTTTTTATGGACCAATAGAGGAACATAAAGACCATTTCTATTAACTGAATATCTTGTTGCAACGTCTGATGAAAATGTCACTTTGCAGCAGCATGATGATTTCTGATAAGGAGAATGCATTTTAATAAGTTGCCACCAATATGACAGCAGAAAAAAGAACAACAGTTTTTGTAACAAAAAATATAAAAATGTGCTGATTTATTATTGAATAGTATGTGAGATGAAAATAAGAGTTTCTCTGCTAAGCCTACACTGACTTTAAAACAGATGTTTAAATTTTTTTCTTAGGGTAAAACAGAACAATTTGTTTTTGCAGTAGTTGGTTTGCTGTACAAGTCTTTGATATTTTACATAACTAAAGTTATATATTTCATATATGTGTAAAAATATATCCTTAACAGATATGTTCTTCAACATATCTGTCAACATTCCAGCCAACATATCTGGCTGGAAGCCAGCCTCATTTTGTTTATATATATATATATATATATATATATATATATATATATATATATATATATATAATATATATATATAATATATATATATATATATATATATATATATATATATATATATATATATATATATATTGCATCTTACAGGTCAAATGATTCACCTGTGAATCATTTAAGTTTAAAAAACACTCCAATGCTCAAGGGATGAACAAGTGTTGCGATACGAGTTTCACGTTCTGATTTGGCATTTTTAATAATAAATTACATTTCTATCAATATTCTAACTTATTTATGTGCACTTTGTTTGACTCAGTGTCTTGACCGACTATTGATTATAACTACTTCTCATTGAGTGAAGAATGACATCATTGTAAATCTGTTATTATTTTCACTTTTACTGTGACATGCACTCTATAAAATTTAACAGAGTGCATTTAACAAAAATAGAACCGTGTAAACGACATATTAGCACATCCTGTTCATCCTGGAACTACGTTAATGAAACACATGACTGACTTTCAGTATTCAGTCTTCTTCGGTAGAAGTCTGTCAGCAACTCACATCTTCACTTGGTTGTATTTTTTTCAAACTCTACCGTGTAAATGTTTCTAATCTATCATATTGAGAAGACATTTCTTGTCCACAGCCCTCTTTTATTCCTTTATAGATTCTCTGGCTATAGGTTAAGGGTAAAAATGAATGGAAGAGAATCTCACTATGAATATTAACTCTATTTCAGTTTCACTAGACTCACTATAACTGGTGACAAGGGCGTGCCCAAGAAGACCGAATCCAAAAAATGTATGCACATATTCTCCAACAAAGTATTAGACTGAAGATGTGCACATTAATGCACCAAGGTGGTTGCAGATTTGTTCTTTGAATTTTACAGAATAAATGTTGAAAAACTATTATTAACTTTATCCTGGCCAGAAGTTGGCTCATTGTTTCACATCTTGGGAAAAACCTGAAATTGTCACAGGACTGTGCAGGAAGTCTATCTCCACTTAATCAAATGATGTGCATACTGAACTTTATATTGTGCTTCTACTTGGATTTGGTCAGTGTGCTGAATCAAAATTTGGAAAATCAGATTCAGATTCAGAAAAAAATAAAAGTAGAGGCAATACATTCAACACAGGCCTCCACTTCTAGCAGTCCTACTGTTTCATCACTTTACCAAGAGGCAAGATTGAGGAGTCTAATTGGAGGTTTTCCGCCTTTGTTCCCACAGTGCAGCTCCATTCTCCGATCCACCACCAGCGTCACTCTCCAGTTTCCCAGCGCCACTCTCCCATCTCTCAGCGGCACTCGCCAGTGCCGCCACATCACTCCCCGATCCAGCAGCGGCGCTCTCCGGTGCTGCAGCGTCTGTCCCCCGACATGCACCGCCGCTCCCCCCTTCTGGATGTCAGCGATGGACCTGCCTCTTATTCCTACCGACCGCCCACCCAGCACCTGAGAGCCAGCTTCCAGGGACGCCGCAGTTATTCAGAGGTGGCTGACCCTTCAGCTTACCAGTGCCCGCCTCGCTTCTCCTTAGACCCAGTCTCCACTCTGCCAAAGCCACGGCCCTACGTTGAGGGTTACGCAAAGCAGCAGCCCCAACACGTCGGCTCCCCTCACAGTGGACTGCAGCACCGCGGGTCCCCGTCGCCCCTTCAAGCTGTGGCAGGCGGAGACAACAGTATGGCAGAGAGCTCCATGCGCCACTCCCGAGAGATGCCTTTCCCCCTGTCAGAGGTGGCACACCTCCATTTTGAGCCCCCTCCTCCTTCCCAGCCTGCCCCCCAACCGCCTCAGTCCTCTGAGGATGAAGAGGAGTGGACCTGCCCACATCCCATCAGCCCCCCAAGGACTCTTGGTGTGCTCTCTCCTGGTGTACCCAGCAGCGTCATGAGGGGCCCGGCATCCTGCACAGCCTTTCCCATCCCTCAGAGGCCCAATAACCTCACCTGCCATCCCCAGCAGGGGTACGCGACATCAGAGCATGCTCAGTCTTGGCCTTCCATTAACGTGAGTTAATAAGAAGTTAATTACATGCCATTCTTCACACTTATCTGTTCAGTCAGACTTGCTCTTAGGAGTTCATCTTGAATTTAAATGATCCAACTAAATATGATTGATCATGTACAGAAAGTACATAAATCTAGTGGTATTTCTCAATTTTAGCTCACATTTTTTCTTTTTTTCTGTTTTTTTCTGTTTGTTTTTTTTCCATTTTTTACAAAGTATCCAGTACTTTTTGAGAGGTTTGCATCTTGGTTATTTAAAAGCAGGGACAATTCTCATACTGCCCTTGCAACCAATTAAAATGCAAGAAATTACAGGACAGAAGTCTATTCTCAGCAGTAAGTACTTAGCACACGGTGATGCCAACTTCCCATTAACTACATGCATAAAGACAATGAAAACTTGTTGAGGGCAAAACTTACAAATACGTTATATTTTATTTCCTGAATGCCCATGCATTCCCCTTCTTTCAGTGCTAAACACATAAAAATATACATTAGTTACAGTTTATAATTAAATACAACTTTAAATCATGTTCTGCTCATGGTTTGGCCACAATGCTTATTTCGCCCTTCTGGGGGAAAAATATTCTGTCTTGGTCGAGAGGCGATGACAGGGTTGCGTCTTTAGCTCACAAAGTCTTCATTGCAACCATTGGATGCCATCTACATGTCAAATGGGTATCTGGAGGACATGCCTGAAAAAGTATTCTCTGTCCTGAGTTACGAAGCGAAATCTGTAGAGTCCACTAAACTTTCTTAAAACAAAGATTGATTTGCTCTGCCGGAATCCCTTCAGGCTGCTTGGCATGAAAGAATATATGGAAAATGATTTCAAGCTAGCTGTACAGTAGAGGATCTGTGGTGCTGTGAGTTTTTTATTTTCTTCTTCAAAAGCTATGAGAGCATTTTTGAAATGCATAACATTTCTTTGAAATACCAGGGGTTCCTAAATAAATAATTTTTGCAAAGCGTAAAATTACTTATTTTACAATTGGCAGACTAGTATTGCAACTAGTTCCAAGTATATAGTAGAAGACATTTTGTTCAAACCAGTTATTGGTTAATGTGAGTTTTTTTCCCCTCAGTTAGATACATTTACTCAAATTACAGATCGAATTGCATCCTTTACATTTCTGTCACAGATTATACACCTATTATATTTTTCACCATGTGCTGTAAAGTGCGGAGCGATCTGTACCACTGCAGCCACATGTTTCAGGTATTCTGAAAGTACAGAGTCGCACTTACAATTGTGTGACTCTGCAGCTTACCTTTGAAATGCTGAACTTGGTTGACCAAATACTAAGCGGCTTTCCAGCCCTCAAAAGTTTTCTATTAAAAATAGCTTTCACACTACATTTCACAATCTTCTCAATGCCTTTTAGTTTTATTAGGAGACTCAGCCAGCACATTGTGAAATCGTCTTATTTTCAGAGAGAAGAGAAGTTTGATAAAACTCTCATGACTGTGCATGATGTACAGAGATGGAGTCAAGATGTTAAGTCTCAATTAGCATGCAAAACAAGGAAGCAACCTTTTTGGTTCACTCCAGAGCACCTACAGATACTTTAAAGCAACTCAAAAGTACAAAGGTGTGCTGTAAAATTGGTTAATCCATAATTTAGGAAAGAAAGAGCATAGAAACCCATCCATAAAAAAAAATTATAAATGCAATCAGCAGTACTTATGTATCAAATCCGTTAACATTTTCCATCCCATAGCTTCTATTGTTTAAAGTGTTTTTAAAGAACTGTTTAATTAGTGTGAGAGTGGCATGAGTTTAGTTTACGTTTTTTGAAGAACAAAGTAGGTTCATGGCCCCTTCCCTACTTATTGCTGTAAATTGCTTGTTACCGCCACTTGAAAGAAGGCCGCTACACATTTTCCACCTCTTACAAGAAAGACAAAACCAGCCATTTTGTTATATTAATAGCACCACCCATCAGTCTTACTAGGATAATGTCGCTTTGAGAAGTTGAAGAGCTACACAACTTGATCCAATAGCCAATCTAGTTAATGTCTGCTTGTTGTACTTGTGTTGGGATTGAACGTTTCGGAACCACCTATCATATCCGCTACCATCTATGCAGAAGGAACAGAATGGCTCAGGAACTGGTTTCATCTCTAAATTAACTGAAACTTATTTCTGGACCTGTGCAGTAAAAAGAAAACAGTCCATCTTAAATCAATTAACTGGGTGAATCTGAGCATGATGGGGATGAAGGAAAAATAAAAGAAAAATGTTTCCAGGATCCTTCAAATAAAAATTAAAACGGACAATACAAAAATATTTATCACGACTGAACCTCCAGAGGGTGATCTGTGCTTGGTTCTGAATAGTTTCGGGTAAATTTCTTGCTAGTTTGGTTTATTTTACTAGTCTTTTTCATAACTATTTGGTGAAGGAGTTGACATGAGGGTCTGATCAGCCATTCCGAAGCCAATGAGGGAAAATAATTTTATTTTGTTTTTGCCCACCATATTCTAAAAACTAGAGAGAAAAAGACTCAAAGACTATTTTTGAAAAGAATCTGCTTGGAGCTTCGTTCACATTCAATGTTTCAGCATAAAACTATGCGACTGAATACTATAAAGGTTCACGATTTAGTGTTTCATACCTTAAGTTAGAAATTTTATTATGAATGCAATGGGACTTTAACACATACTGGCAGCAATTCAGGCAGGCATTTCATTCAGCATAACACTTTGAGATTATTAACACCTTGATAGGATGCTGTGTGGGTGAAGAGATTGTTATGATTAATTGAAAAGTTCTGTCAAGAATACAAGTATGTTAAAGGTGACTGGTGAAACAAAGTCCTGTGGGTGAAAGGTCAGACCTGGTATTTTTTTCACTGCACTTATTAAACTGTGAGATACTCATCACTCATTTATGCACATCCTGCCCCATGCATAAATCTTCAGCTCTGAATGGGACAGTAAATTTCTTTTTTTTTTTTTTTCAAAAAGTATGTAAAATGAATAGCTTTTGATTATTGCATAAAAACCTAAATTCACTCTTTACCTCTTCATATTTAGCTTGTAGGCAGACAGACTTTTATTACATCCAGACATGTGCTACTCAGCAATAGTCTTAATGGTTTAGCACAGTGTTTCTCAGTCCAGGTCCTCACAACCCCCTGCCCTGCATGTTTTAGGTGTTTCCCTTCGGCCACACGCCTGGAGTGAATATTTGGGTACATAACAGGCTACTGCTGTACCTGATGGTCATGCAATCATTTGAGTCAGCTGTTCTGGAAGAGAGGCACATCTGAAACATCCAGAGCATTGTGGGGCTAGCACAATGTAGCCCCATGTGAAGTAGAGGATTTTGCTTTTTCAACACTGACTCAATTATCCATGCAAGTGACTTAGCTGCAGTTCACATGTGACGGTTGGGGAAAGACTGTCTTCTTGTGTGTGAGTGTGTTTGTTTTTCTCTGCAGCTCTGGATGGAGAGTGAGGAGAACGACATGAGGAGCTGCCCTCTCTGCCAACTGATTTTTCCCGTCGGATATCCCGACGACGCTCTCATCAAGCACATTGACTCCCACCTGGAGAACAGCAAGATATGATCGCCATGGGCCAAACAACCCACACATCTGCTCTCTTTCCTCTTGCAGGTTTATGTAAGAGTTCAGCCGATCTGTCCAAATAGAGAGACACATGTAGGAATCGCATTTATGGGGTGAACCACTTAGATTTGTGTCATAATCTGTAGGAATAGGAAACAGAAAGTATTTTATTTTAGCTTTTGGAGAAGTTCTGAACACAGATCCGTCTTGGATTTGTGGGCCCATCATTAGAGTTTTTTGGAGACAGGTCTGTCTCAATAATCTCTGGATCTGATTGTTTGGCTCTTAGTTTGGTTGTGAAGTTTGAATAAAGTTTCAGATACCCTTTTATTAGTCCACTCCGCAGTGTAGTACCCCTTTATTTAGCCGAGTATGCCAACCCTGATGCATGAGAGGCACACTGGCAAGTTCAAGGGTTAAGCACGCCTTAAAGTTAGTCTCAGTTTTTATCAGTATTTAATCAGGGAGATTTGAGTAATCAGTCTGAATACCATGTAGATTATTTTGCAGTTATCCTGTTTAGCAGGAGCCAAGGGCAAACAAAGACGTGTAGGAATGTGCTTTTTGATTGTGACAGAAGTTTATTGCTAAGTGACACGGGTAGGGAAATTTAGGTTACTTTTTTTAATTAAAAAAAATCAAAATGAGGGAGTTACAGGAGAATAAAGCATTCCAATTTCACATTTACCTTCGAGCAAATGACTGGACAAGCTGGAGAAAATGAACCTGAATCCATCCGAGTGCATTTATTTTCCACAAAAACAGTTTTGATGATGCCCTGCGGGGAAGGGCTGCTGTGAGGAAATGTCTTCTGTCTTTTTAATGACAGAGAAGTTTTAGTCGGAATATTCTTTTTATGCTTGCGGCCTGTTCAAAAAGTATCCTAGCACTTTAAGTTAACGTAGCCTAGAAAACGTAATTGTGTCAGTGTCCATATACATCAATCAGCCACAATGTTAGTGAAGTCTGATTATCTTTGACCTGGGAGCAAGAGAATGGTGAATTCTGCAGGATGGTAATCTAAATTAGCTGAAGAAATGATGACTCTATCAGAGAAATGTCAAGTTATTCCATGCAGGAACAACTTTAGCTTCTCTGGTTTATGTAAAAGTTAGTTTACATTGAAGGTCAGTAAATCCACAGGAGATAAATATGCCACCAAGACTTAAAGGTGAGGAGCAAAGGTTGACCTGTTAAGGGTTCTGATGCATGTCAAACATTAAAGAGTAGACTGTATAGTCACAAATCAGTCAGGAGCTTAAAAACGGGCTGATCTGCGACTGGACCATGGAGCAACAAATGGCTAGGTGCATAGTTCTTTTTCTTGTAAGCAGATGGCAACAAAGTAAGATGGAGAGTGGGAACTTTCGGATCTTGTGGTACACAACACATACCTAATCGTTGTTGCATGTTCTTAGCAACAGCAGTGTCCTCTTTAAGAATGATTACATGCCCCGAAACATCACCTCTGTGATGTGTTGGACAATTACTTCCTCTACACCTACCTTACATCCTTGTGAACTCCTGCACAGAGGGCACCCGTACCGCATTAGGGTGGTGCTTGGACAGTTGAGACTGATTGATGTGTAGATTCTCAAGCGTCTAATTTACTTTTTATTTTGTCTACATCTACAAGACAAACTCTGTACATGAAGATATATTTTTGCAATGTTTAAATGTTTATACACCAAATGTGTGATATGTTGGTGACAAGTTTCTCTCATGTGTTTGCACACCACTATGAATATGAAAGGGGAGACAATGGTCAAATTCCCACCACATGAGGTACTTTTCTGTACAAAGGCAAAATTATCCAATGGGGAATCTCCTCCGTCTTCCTCGTGTTCCGATCTTCATCACAGTTTGATGTCAAGCGGCCCAGACCACCTAACAAAAAAAAAAAAAAAGTCTAAAAACCAAGCTGCATGAGATTTCTATCTGAAACACTTTAACCGAACAGATGAAACGGCTCCTGGCAGCAAAGTTATTTTTGCAGGGTTCAAGCAAAGACAGTACTCTTCTTTTGATACCTGGATTTATTTATTTTTAATCACTAAGGTGACTTAGTTTAAGATCTACTTGTGGTACTTGCTCTTTTTAAAAAGAAAAAGAAATAATATCATACTGATGTCACTTGCTCTGAGGTTTTCAGTCACAAGCATTTTGTAACATGGGATGGTCTCACACAGCAGCCCATTTCTTTCGACTGGCTGACCGTCTTTTTTCTTCTTTTTTTTTTAAGAGATGAAATGCTGTGGACTGGAGTTTTGCAGAGCAGTGATAGGGGCTGAATAACCAGCAGCCGAAATGATTTGAAGTATTTTAAAGAACATTGCAGAACAAACCTTTGCTGATAAAGGTTTGGAGAAAAAAAAAATTCCTTGATAGTTGTATTAGATTTAAAGACAACTCTGCTTTATTACCTCTATTATTACCTTCAGTTTATGTGGCCACCGGGATGGCCAAACGTTACTCAGCTTTTCCACATTAAAACCATCGGCACACATTATGTTACATCTATTTGTGAACATGCTCCTTTACTCGTTGAATGTTAACAGCACCAAGAAATACTCTATCATCTGATTGTAAAAGCAACAACAGCTGTCACATCCTGCTGCTGCTTTGACTTTAAACTGGAGCGTTGTTAAATTGAACACGGTTTCCCATCTCCAGATTCCTATTACATGTTTCCAGTTTCTCATGAAACATAGAATTATAAGATGGCCTGAACTGAGACGGCTAATTTGTAAAAGCTGCCTGGTAATTATCCAGCCAAGTTGTTAGAAGCACTAAAACAAGCTAGCACTACGTTTTTCATTTTCGCTTCTCAACTAATGTCTTGGAAAGTGCTATTGCTTCATTACAATGCTTTGATTCAATGCTGAAGAGAAATATCTCAAATTGTTGTAAACCTTTTGAGATAATGACTTGCCACAACTAAAACCAAAATGTCAATATTTTAATACGTATCTGTTTTCAAACTTTTAGTGATCATTTTTTATTATCTAAGTCCAATTTCAAAGGCTAATGAAGCATCATTAAAACTGGTTCATCTGTAACTACAGAGCTGTAACATTAAAGCTACCTGCTAGGAATCAAGCTTATTGAAAAAGAACTAATGTTAAGTCACCAAACTGAAAATGTTTTTCAAAATAATTACTAAACAGCACTTTAGCGGGCTAAATGCAAAGTTTTAACGAGCTGCGCTTTCGCAAGTATACAATTGTTGCTCTATATTTTCTTTTTGTAGCAATAGCTAAGGACCCATCCAGTTTTCATTCTGAATTTTTAACTTAATTATTAAAAGTAAATACATTTTCTGAATTTTTACTAGTTTTTCATATAAAGTAATGTGCAAATAGCTGAAAAGTTATGCCCAGAGATTTAACAATACTGAAGTTTAGATTTTTTAGTTGACCTCTTGAAGTGACAATTACACAATGAAGAATCTGTGTAAAGTACAGTTTCAGTTTTATATTCAAAACCAATGCCAAGCTTTAGAAATCACAGCTCTTTGTTATGTGAAACCCTCTTTTTACAGAAATGACAATAAACATCGTCAGCCTTCCATATCCTGTGTAAAACAAACACTTGGGACTTTCTATTTCTACAGTATAACCATAAGATTGTCAAGCAAAAGCTACTAATGTAATTAGCTGAGATACACAAAAGAATCTTTTGCATTGCTTTCATCTCCTAAAAGTTCAAGCGTTCCGGGGCAGACAGAACAGAGAAATCTACAAATAACAACCTCTCTTTCCTGCTTTTCATTTTTTGGGGGACGTGGGTGGTGAGGAAAGCAGTGTTCACCACCGCCGCCAGCCAGCTTCCTGGGGGAAACCCTGAAAACTATTCTGAATTTCACAAGAAACAAGTGAAGTTCGAAGAAGTCGCAAAAAAAAAAAAAAAAGAAAAAAGAAAATCACTCAATTTGGTTACTTTTACATCAGCCATAACCATCCCCGTCACCTCATTACAGTTTCTCTGGTTTATGTGCCATTTTCTTTTTCTTTTTTTTTTGCAGTAGCTATGTAAATTGATCTGTATTAAAACAGAATTGTCCTTCAAAGCCTCCCCATAAGCTTGAGGCTATTTTTGACCCTTAATTCAAAGGGGTCACCATGGCTCACGTATTCTCAGCTGTATGTGCAGTATGTTCTTATATTATTATGTGTGAAAATATTTAGAATTTTGTACAGTAATTTTGCAAGTGTTTTAAGACTGATGCAACATGTACTTTATTATTCCACAACTTCAAATTGGAGTGTATGTAAATCTATATATCTATGTGTAAATCCACAAGAGTAAACATGAATTATATGCGAGTAAAATCCCTACAATCTTCCACTGTTACTCACTATGTAGTGATATGTCTTGTAGTGCATTTTTATCACAGCCAGAAGGTGAAATGTGTTCTTGAAAGTTTCAAACACTTTAGAAAAAAGTTTATGATTCAAACAACAAAAAAAAACAAATTAATTAACTGATTTTCTAAAAGCTTAAGCTACAGGATGCACAGTGCCTTGCAGAAGTTTTCATGTCCTTTACAGTTTTTTTCACATTTTGTCATATTATAGTATTTATGTATTTCTTTTGGTTTTTCTATTATTATAACTGCCATGCCACTGTACAGTGATAGCCCTAGATAAAATTCGATGGAAACCAGTTGCCTTTAAATGCCACCAAAACTAAACTTTGAACTTTACTGTGCTGAAAACATCAAACTATCCTAATCCTGTGGCAGCATCACACTGTGGGACGCTGGATTGAAATGCACGCTGCACTTTTCTCAAAAACCATCTGCCCTTCTGCTTCATAGTTATGCAAAAATTTGTGTTGGTTTATGAAAAAAAAGCAAAAAGGACGCATTAAATAGTTTGGTTTTAATGTGACAAAAGATGAAAAATGTCTATGAAGGACATCACTCCTTTTGCCAGGCACTGTAACTGTTCTTTTTAAATACCATTTGATTCATTTCTTTTAAAGGCAGAAAAAGATGTTTTGCGGTTTCAGATTTTTGAACACTACATGCATTTCTTGGCCTCCAAAACACAGGATCTAGGTCTGCTCCTAACCAAAGAGAACAAATGGTTCCCTGTATATTTTAAGCAAAGAAAAGTCATTGTCTTAGGCGTGTGCGAGTAAAGATGCTGCACTGTGGTTATTGAAACTGGAAGGTTCACGACCACAACGCGCTGGCCGGCAGCTGCAGCGCAGAATGATTGTGCCCCTGCATGAGCTCGTGAAGTGATGCACATGGATGTTTGTACTGCTGCACATCTGCACTTATGCAGGCCTTGCTGAGGTCAGTACGAGTGGGGCTTAGAATCGCTGCTTTAGGTTCAATTATTGGTGTTCAATTACAGAACTCTAACCTGTGACGCAATCTTTTTTATTATTATTATTATTATTATTATTATTTTGATGTGCTTAAAGCAAGCTGACTTTGTAGTTTACTCAGGACAGAAGGGATATAAAGTGCAGTGTGAAGATAAGTGATGATTATTCATTTATTTTTTATGAAATTTCACTTGGAATTCTGCTCAGAGATTCTCAGGAGACAAACAACACGGTCCTTTAAAACGCTCGAACAGAGAGAAAATAAAAAGTCGAGACTTTTCATATTCTTCTAAAGCTCCACTCATCTATAAGCACCTCTGTGAGTCAGACTGTCTTCAGTTTCTTTTTCTGTGGGGTAACCTTGAGCGCACACTGAGACCTCGGCACTAATGAACTCTCCACAAACACTAATGAGAAATAATGTCTGTGTATAAAATTAATGTGTGAAAAAACAACACCACTGGCGGCATTCACCAACTTATATATATATATATATATATATATATATATATATATATATATATATATATATATATATATATATATATATATGCTACTTAGGTCCACAAAATGTTTTCCTTTATATATCTGTAAATATTCCTATTAATAAACTTGCACTGAAATAACATGCACACTGGCTTTCTTTGTAAGCTTTTTGTGACGTTATGGCCTAGCAGGATGCATCTCACATCCTGTTTTGTTTCATGCAGTAGCAGTATTTTAGACGCACACGAAGCCTTCCACATTTATTAGCAGCACTGGTACTGTTTTAAAAGCCTTCAAACATATTCAAGGTTTGCTTCATGCTCACAAAGTCATTTTCGCTGCAGTGCTTCAACAATAAGCTTCAGAGATTTTTCTTAACTCCTTTACCATCTAGCTCACCGTGTGTAATGGAAAAATAGACTTGGGTCCTGCTCCAATCTTGCAGTTTCATGTATTTTAAACTTTTTGATTTTTGCTGTGCACTGTACATTTTTTTTCTCTACTGTACACATGGGTCATTTCAGACAAGCATTCATTTTCTCCTGGCTGTTTTGAACAGTGGCTACTGCCACATTCGCACTCCAGAGAAAAAGAAGACTGCAGAGCAATGCTGAAAACAATGTTATAATTACAATGTACAAGTTGTTTGAGAATAGCAGCACATTTAATTTGTGACGTAAAGTCAACATGACCTCTGACACAATAAGGTTTATAGCCTTTTAATTGAATGTGCATTTAAAAGGTAATTTGTTGCACAATATTATCTAATGCTACTGGAACTGCAGGGGTGCTGCTATTTTTGCCTCAGATAGAGTGATATGGCGTTTACACAGCAAAACTCTACAAAAACAAGAACTCCTAATCAGCTGTGTTTATCTGTTCAAGGAGGCAGCAGTGAGAACTGAACATGTTTTTAGTTTCAGTCAGGCTTGAAGCCGCTGCTGAGAAGAAGCAAGAATAATTAAAAAAAAAAACAGAATCTCGTCTCTCAGGTATGGCAATACTCTGCAGAAGTCAGATCAATGTCAACAAAGAAAAAAGGAGAGAGCCTAGATTGCAGTTACAGTTTAAAAATATAACCATAAAACCTTGAACAATATCTGTTTTATTTATTCATAAAAAAATAGAGAGCGAAATGTTAAACATACACAAGATTTTTTCTACATTTTGTATTGTGTTTCACAATTTGGAGCAAAGTTGGACTTGTAAATAAATGAGATCACATTTAGATGTTGAAGTACATGGTTGAATGACATTCTCATTTTTTATTTTACAACCTCAAATCCAAAAAACTATGTAAAACCACCTTTTGCTGCATTCACAGCTGAAATTCTTTTGGGTTATGTTTCTTCCAGCCTTGCAAATTTTTCCATCCTTTTACTGAGGATGGATTGTTGACTGCAATGTTCAGTTTTAGGTTTTGGCTGCATACAATGCTTTGCACCCAGACCTAAACATTCAGTGTTGATCTCATTTGTGCCCCCCATGAGGCTCATGGCAATTATTGTTGGATTGCATAAAGCACAAAGTTGGTCTTTCAGAGTATAGTAGAAATTATTAAATATTGTAAGACTACTTATTAGCCATGGTTATATACCCAGCAGACATTATCTTTGACTCAGATCACAGCATTTTTAAATTTTGTGTTTTTTGGACAAAAGCGTCACTTTTAAATAGACCCGTCCCTTTACTGGAAGTGCTTCTGACGTAGAAAACGCTGAAACTGTGTTTTCTAAGAAGGCTGCTCTCTTTACCCCGGGTCATAGCTGCCATCCTTTTCACCGGGCTCATTTCCTACATCTTTAGCTCTCTGCCGCTAACCTCAATACTTAGACTACATCAGGAAAAAGAAAAACGCGCACACCCATCCGGGCCACAAAACCACAAACACCGCTGGGTTTACTCGTAAAGCTAAAAGGCAGAGAGTGAGCCTGCAGCCAGAAGTAACAGAAACCTCACCAGCTCTGTCAATAATTATGAAAAAAAAGACGTTTTCTGTTCACCGACTGAAAACAACAGTTGCCTCCCTGCGCTTACATGACCTCCCAGATGCAGATAGAAATAAAGTACGCACCTTAGCGTTCTTTCAAAAGCTCACAGACACAGGACTTCAGACAGACTGATCTTAGAAGTAAAACTTCTTCAGTCACCTGTATTTAAAATAATCTCGACTTCAAACAAGCAAGGACGTATTTTCAACATCATGTCCATGTCCAAGTAAATTGGAGTATAGTTGAAATGTTTGTTTATTTCTATGAATCTGAAAGTGAAACAGTATGTAGAGTATAGATTTAGAGTAAACATGGTTGGGAAGGCAAAATCAGGTGGAGAATAATTTATTAAGCACCCAGAAAACAGAAACTTGGAGACTGATAGCATAAACAAACCAGAAATGGCAAGATCATTCAGAGGTCCACAGAAGAATCCACTAAGGAGTGAAAATGAGATGCAATGCAATGGTGTGTGGAGCCTAACAGGAGGAGCACAGCGAGAACAATTGACAGGTAACGGATGTACAGAAATGAAATGAAAGACGAATTTGAAAACCAAATCTAACAGCTAAACTCAAAGTCGACAGAATGATCCATTTCAGAGTTATATTTCTGTTTGTTCCAGTGACTGTAATTTATTGCTAATTAAAAAAACTAATTTTGTATCTCAAGATATTAAGACTTCACATTGGACAGTCTACGAACCTTGGTAGTTTTTTTTTTTTTTACATGAATTATAACTCTGTGTTACGGAGGTGATCAGCTTGCAGCCCTGCAGAAGCTTGTTGGTTTGAATATCTTTTGTCTTTCACTTCCAGTTTGCTGACCTGTCAGTCACAGTGGCACCTTGGACATTTCAGCTGGTAATGGAAAAGGAAATATCCATTGCAGAAGGAAGCATGTTGGGCTTTTAGGACTTGATCAAACAAGTCCACAATCCGATTAAACGGATTGTGGAAACCTCTCATTGGACTTCAACCTAAATTTTGTGTCACTTCACTCTTCCTTCATACACTGACTGACATCTTTTTATACCACAATGTTTCCTTCGAACAAACGTTTCATTGTGCATAGTCCGTAGTCACTCTCTGAACAACACTTTTCTTTATTAAAGTGTAGGCCAGGACACGACCACAACGTTTCTATCATAGAAATAATTTTCAATAGTGTTATGTAATATTAACATTTTTGCACAAAGTGAATTTTTGGGTCTCGTCAGCTGTAGGTCATAATCATCAACAATAACAAAATAAACAATGCATCGTTCTATGTGTAAATTCACATTATAAAATAATTACATGTAATGATTTTCTTTTATTTACATTTATTTATTTATTTAGATGTTATTTAGATGTTCCTGTATTTGCAGAAAAGCTGCATGAGTTCAATACAGTAGTAGAGAACGATAGCAGCAGTATGCTAAACTTGAATAACTTTAGCATCAAATTACTCAGTCTGATTCATGATGCGAAAAATGCACTGCTATATTTAATGCTTTACTTGTACCTGGAGTAAAACCACTCAAAGCTT